TCAATTTCACCAGCAGCTGTCATCCTTAGGGAGAAAGACAATCAAGGACAGCCTCCCTGACCCTCAGCCTGTCCATTTCTCAATACGTCTTTAATCCTGAATACCAATATTCAGTGGCGTTCCTCGCATCAACAGGGGCATACCCCGCACAGTCAAACTTTGTTCAAACTATGGGATTTATGTGCACTGTAAATTAAGACTGACATCATCTATATGGAGGCTATAACATCATATCCCCAACACAGCCTTTCTTAATGGCTTTTCAGTGCTTCTGCATCTGGCTTAATGTTTCCGCAAAGTAATAGGTTGACCTTTAGAATAAAGGGAGAGGGGAGAGATGTTCGGAGCTTTAAACGATTCCATTTTGTAGCTCCACAAACGGCATATTGGTACAATTTCCAATCTCATCATTTCTATACTGTCATGCCACAAATAGTTCAATAAGCTATAGAACGTCTCTCCCTCGAGGGGGAAGGATATCCACTTTGTATGGCATGCCAATAATGCAGCCCCCACACTACCAAGGGCTTTACTTCTTCCAGATTCAAAACTGGCTCCCATTGGACATCTAAGGACACTTTCGGACTGATCTGAACAACAGGAACAGGAAACATTCTTTCAACACTGCCAATCCCAGCAGCACAAACATGTCGGGTTCCTCACCCCACGCTCTCCTCTGATGAGCTGACAAGTGTGAGAACAGCCAGAGAGTACACACCCAGCTTGTATCCTACAGTAAGCATGGAAAGGCCTGGGGAAAACATTTTCATAGAAATACTTCCTTTGCTCAGTTTGGTACTGCAGTTCTCTCTTTTTTAAAAAAGGTACCAGCAGAAGATGCTGCCAGAAAACATCCCTCATCCATAACACCACAGGTGGAACACAAGAAGTATCAGTTTGCACTTAAAACATTGCTCTTTGTTTGTGGGTAATCGTTAGTTAACATTAGTAGCCTGAAGCCATCTGCTGTGGCTTTGCCTAAAGAGCAAAGTAATCTTGGCCTGGCCCGGTACCTGGGACAGGATACACCTAGGAACTATTCCAAGCTGTGACAGGTCAAGAAATCCATAAATGGGATAAGAAAGAGGATGTGAAAAACAGCTCGCAGCTCCCAATGTAGTATAAAACTTACATTAAGCAGCTTCTGCAGAGATTCTAGTATTTGCATCGATTTAGGACTGTTTAAGCACTCACTGCACTGAAAGACTGACAATTGTGTTTGGGATAAACTAGCTGGCCAACATGATTTGACCAAACTGTGGGAGGCAGTGGAAGACAGGAGTGCCTGGCGTGCTCTGGTCCACAGGGTCACGAAGAGTCGGACACGACTAAACGACTAAACAACAGCAACAAGTTGGCAACAAAGGGTGGATGGAGGAGAGAAGGAAAAAGGAAGGAAAGGAGAAGCATCTGAAACAAGTGGAGAGCCAGTGTGGTGTAGTGGTTAAAGAGCGGTAGTCTGCTAATCTGGGGAACCGGGTTCGCGTCTCCGCTCCTCCACTTGCAGCTGCTGGGTGACCTTGGGCCAGTCACACTTCCTTGAAGTCTCTCAGCCCCACTCACCTCACAGAGTGTTTGTTGTGGGGGAGGAAGGGAAAGGAGAATGTTAGCCGCTTTGAGACTCCTTAAAGGGAGTGAAAGGCGGGATATCAAATCCAAAACTCTTCTTCTTCTTCTTGTACATTGGCCTTGGAAGTAGATGATGGATGCTGCGCATTTCAGTGACCAAACTTCTTAGCTTGCACTTGTCTGCCTACCAGCCAGTGATCTGACAGAGCCTCCCTATCGTCACCAATGCACTGACTGAAAAATCTCCTTGTGATGATCTAGAAAAAGAGGAATGACCTGCATCACAGCCTGCCTAGGGGGAAGCGAACCAGAAGCAAAGGTGTACAGAGACCCAGGTTTTTTCTACCCTTAGCAGAGGCCAATGGAGGATGGCTCACTTATTCCCTGTATTATTTGCATGCCTCCTGCTCTTATTCCCAAGGCTCATGGCTGATTTTTACATTTCATTCTTTACTGTCACAGTGAGGCAAAACATCATTCCCATTTTGCAGGGGGAAAGTGAGGGGACAAAGACTTAAGGGTATAGGAATGATCCAAGGCCACCCAAACTAGCTCAAGAGGGATTTAAACCCAGGCCCAAGTGCCACATTGTATTCGCTTCTCCACCTGTGGGGGAAAAACAAAACAAAACTAAAAATGCTTCCCTTTTGATTAGCAGCACTGATGGCTCAGCATGCTTAGCAGAAAGAAGCCTAGAGCAGAACAGCTGTGCCCTTGATGTTTAAGAGAGAGGGATACTAGTCCAAGATGGCAATCTAGCCACAACCTGTTCAACCAGAGTGCCAAAAACAAGGACAACAAGGTGGTGATGTGCATTGCCAGAGAAACACCCACTTGCTGTGCAGTCCTGGAGTCCTCTAGCCCCAGACACAAAGAGCAAACTGCTATTGCAGGCCTGTGCAAGTACCTGCCTTCCACACACACACACACACCAAACGCCAAAGTTTAATAGGTTCTGTATTTGAAGCTGTGAAGTTGGGACACTGCAGCTGTAATATTATAATGGCTTGTAGGGGAATAGGAAAGTGGAACAGAGGAAGATACATTTTATTTTTCCCCAACTAAGCAGATTTAATATTGGCAATGGATTATTTTTAAGTATAACATTCCGCCTCTTCCAAAACATGATTATCAAACCCAGGAGTGTTTATACTCTGGGCTCTACAGCAATGAAGTTACTTTGTCCAACCACTCCCTTTCTGCATTTTTTTAAAAAAATGGGGTCATTGTAACAATTCCATGTCAGGTCATCTGGTTCTAAACTTGCCAGTCCCCTATCAAAGATGTAACAACCCCTTATTTTATTTTATTATTTTATTTATTTTATTTTATTTTATTTACAAAGGAGAATTGATACATAAACACAGGAAAATCTGAACTGGTGCTGGCACAGGAAAATTAGATATAATTCCTTCTGATTCAAGGTTTGCTTCTAAATTCAAAGCTAAGGGCCCATTTGCCAACACAGACACATACCTGTATTAGTCATTTGTGACTAAGGTACAGAATCCAGGAAAATGGTACCCAATCCAGTACCCCATGTATCATCATGTAATAAAACTGCGGTGGTTTTGGACCAATACAAACTTTTGCACACTCCAGTTGCAAAAAGTCTGACTACCCTACATCAAAATCAATCTGTATGAGTAAAGATTGACATCATCATCATAATCATCATTTTATTTGTACAGTATGCTGCCTTCCCACAGTTAAAACAATGCTCAAGGCGGCTTACAATATGAAAAGATTTACATAATTACAAATATAGCAAAGTAGTCATAAAAACAAATAAAACACATTAAAAACTATATAACCAAACTGAACAATTTCCACATAAAAATAAAGATGCAAAAAGTTAATATCAGTAACAACAGCAAAAACTTCCAATGAAACTTCTCCCAAGACACCCCAGTCCTTGCTGGGCAGCAGCAGTCCTTATGAGGCCTGTCAGGCCCCACGCTGCACGATGCCAGTCTCGCAACATCTGAGCATTTGTGAGAAGCTCCCCAGAGTGATCTGTCTTGTTTGTTATTCCTGCTATTTCTACTCTATTCTGTTTTAAGAGTTTATTCTCCATTGTGCTGCTTCATTTTTCTTACTACATTAGTTATTTCAAGGCTGCCTGCCCTGCCTTTGGCTCTGTTTCAAAGTCACTTGCTTCTTAAGCAAGCTTTGGAACACAGCAGCTTAAATATGCTTCAGCAATCCTGTTTCGAACTGCTAACATGCTTTAAGCTGCAATCCTATATGGCTGGTGTGGCGATCACACAAGGTCCCCAGACATTTCACCGTCTATTGATCCCTGTGCCACCACTTTATTTCTCGCTGCCACCACCCCAGGCCCTACCTGGTAAAATACTGAGTTCAGTCAGGGTTAAATCGGAACATAAACTTCTGTTTATTTATTGCAGTTTAACAAGAGTGTGGTTTCATAAACAGTCTCAGTCAATTACAATCATGGGGTGCCTATCCAGACCTATAACTCCCGCTACCTGCTCTCACTCACTAAACCACCTCTCAGATATTTACTTGTCTTCCTAGCTCTTAACTGTTCCTGACTCAGTTTATTTCGCATCACTAACTCAACTTACCCACAGACCCTATTCCAATTCACTCCCACTCCAACCAACCACCCAACTCCCAACGAACTCCCCCTCTTCGCCCCTCCCAGAGCTGGTTTCATAGTCCCTCTGACTCCACCCCCCTGGGTTCTGATTGGGTAACCTGTTTAACTATTTCACCTCCAGCACTCTCATATGTTAACGTCACCACTGGGAGTATAGGATTGCCCTGTTACTTAATAAATTTTAAGAACAGATAAATTAGGCAATCAAACTATGCTTAGTAGGGACTGCTAATGCAGAAGAGGGCGAAACAGAGCCTCCATATATGGTTCTTTCCTCTGGTAGAAAAGAGACACCTGTTAAAAATAAAAGAGTCCTAGCATACATTTTGCTCCCAAATATTATGGCTGCAGGGAGAAGTTGGAGTACTGGCAGGCTTGAATTCCCACCCCCATCTCTCATGAGCTGATGCATAGTGAAAGAAGCAAAACAAATCTTGTTGGCTGGGCATCCAACCTTCTTTGATCTTCAGCCATTATTTCAGATTTCTTAAGGGCCAACTTACATTTTCTACATATAAAGGAAGGAATTTCCAAACAGTAATACACGAGCAGCATCTCTAACGACAGCTTGCTGCTTGTCATATTAATGAAAGGAATATGCAAATTATTTTGAGTGCATGCTATTAAAATATGCTGATGCACTGCAGTCTTTTGTGCCTCATTGCGATATATTTCTGCTATTTCCCTAACAACAACTTACCCACCCCACTCAAATATCCAGGTTGAGGAGCCAATACAAACAGGATTCTACTCTCCACAGGGGTTTTCAAAATCTAGAAATCAGTAAGAAAAAATGAGGAGTTTATGTATTCAGCAGATGAGTGATCATTTAATCTTACCTTGCTTTTGTATAAAAATCCTAAGCAGCGGGTTTGCACTTGTAACAGCCTTGAAGAAGTTGTCGTCGTTATTAATAGGAAGGAGATCTCCATGTATATCGGCATAACCAATCATCACCTCCATGTTGGATATGTGGTGGATGTGAAGAATCAGTTTGTAGAAGTCTTCAAATTTCCCTGGTTTGAAACGATCCAGGGAAAACCTTCGAAATTCTGCACCAAACTGGAATCAAGGGGAAAAGAGGAGATGAATGGGTGTCAGGGTTTTTAAGGTGACAGAAGCTTTCAAATTTCACATCTGCTGTTCTTATTCTTAAGTAGCTTATGTGCTCTTCAAACTGCAACCTTATAATTGTACAGGATATTAAGATGATGGAAGAGGTCAGTTGTTTTTTAAAATTTAATTCAAACACTGTACTAGACCGTGCTTTGCACTAGCTATAGCTTAGAATCCAAACCATGGTTTGAACTTCTAAAGCACTATTCTTTCTGCACTTCTAATGTCCTTGGGACAGCAAATTTCTCAAGGCAGACAGATGGCTGTAACTATGGTTTGCCAATTCAAAACATCACACCAAACCAGTTAGAACAAATTTGCTTATTCTCTCCTTCCTCCTGTCAAAAGCAGACAACCCTGCCAGTGTTCCTTTGCCTATAGTTGCTTTGAACATGTCAACCAAAATGCAATGCTTCTGTTTTCTCCTGCTACTTACTATACCTCATGATTTCAGCAAATTGCTCTTGAAAGGTTTCCCAGAAGTTCATTTTAAATTGATTCTTTTTCACTTCCCTAATTTGACCAACAATTGGGAAATCCAGAGGCCCACTCTGAAAGATCATTTCCTGCCAGGTTTTTGAGGGACATAAGAACTTTGGTTCTCCATTTACTGATGAAAACAGAATCCCCAATGACATAGATTTCTGATGTTGAAGAGGCCTTAGACTCCCAAGACTGTTGATGACCATAAAGTACTCTGCAGGCCTACAAAGCCCACACCATATTCCCCTCTGTGAAGATTGCCTGTGCAAGAGAGTTCCTTGCAATGGAACTTGCTCACATAACCGATGCCTGGAAAAAAGCCTCAGGAGTTTGAAATCCCTGAGCAGTGCTTTGAAGTCCTGACATTGGGACTTCAAAGCACCTAGTTATCTTATATCATTGTGACACCAGATAATTGATGGGTGGGCAGCTTCACTCACCTGTCAGGTTTGGACTGTGGGGCCAGGGCCTGAAAAATATCTGGTTCATGGACCCAAAAGGCTCCCCACCTGTGGGCATACATCCTTCCAAATATGTTGGAAGTCAGTTCCACTGAAGTCACTAGGTGACATTTGAGACAGTTTCCCTGAATGATAGTCATGCAAACAATGCAGATGTGGAACACACTGGGTTAATTTGATGAGGGGGAAATTGGCTGGAATTAAATTGTTCTTAACAAACACTAATTTCAATTCAGGCATTTTAATATTCATGTAGCCCTAAGAGACTTGGAAGAAAGTCTACAAAGGTAATTTCCATGTTCATTGCCTTGGCTATATTTGAAACTGTTAACTGGGATACTGATAAGCATTCTCAGCTCATTGCAAAAGGAAGCTTCTACATGGAAATTAGGAGATGTCAAGCATCAGCAAACTGTTACTCAAGTGAACAAGTCAGAGCTGGAGAAGTACAGTATTTTTCCATGTATAAGACTAGATTTTTTTCATAAAAAATAATGTCGAAAATTAGGGGACATCTTATACACGGATAGTGCCAAGGGGGGACTGGTGATTGGTTGTTGCCGCAAAAATAGAGGGTGTCTTATACATGGGGGCGTCTTATAGATAGAAAAATACGGTATATTAGTCTTTAGCTGTCAAGGACTCTGATTTTAAGTTACGAACCACTAAGAAACTCGTCAGTAAAAGGGAAAAGATTTGATGAAATATTGCTAATCCGAACACTGTTGATAAATCTTCCCACAGCCATGCATGCAGAAGGGTTGTGTATGGTGCAAACAGCAGTGTCAAGGGTGGGGGGGCGGATCCAGGAATGCCTATTTTGTTGTTACTTTCTTGTAAACTGTGTATGGTAATATAGAAATGAAGTATACAAATTAATAGCAAATGAAATGAGTTTAGAGGTGGAACCCCAGTGAACAGACTTGTGCATTTATTTATTTATTGAATTTCTATACTGTCCTATGCCTAGAGGTCTCAGGGCGGTTCACAGAACAAAATCAAAATATAAAACCACAAAATATATAATCAAAATAAAAACAACAAACCAATAACCCCTTTGTAACGATTCTCCTTTGTAATGTTTATACAGTACCGTATATTAAGTACAGTAATTAAGAGTTTGTCCTTTGACTTTTGCATCTCTTGTCATTAGAAGCAACTCATCTCACATAAAATCACAATCATACAACACGTCCCCAAACGTGAGAAATGAAAGCTTTTTTATTATTATTATTACAGCTCTTCCTATCTGAAGAGTTTTAGGAAAATGTTTTTGTTTTTTTTAAAGAGTTCAGTGAAGCCTGGAAAGCTTGCTTACCATTACAATGAAACTTTGTTAAATAAATAAATAAAGCAATACAAGTCTCATTCTTTTGGGCAGACACAATTGTAACCCTCATAAGAATCTAGAAATTAAGAAGTCAGGTCAACCGATGGAGTAAATATTTAGAGGTTTGCATCCAAACACACATGCGGAGGCAGAGCCGTAGCTAGGTGACCTTGCGCCCCTGGCAGAACCGTCCAGATTGCGTCCCCCCCAGCCATGGACAAATTAGCTCTTCTTTCTGCCTCTCCTCCAACCCCCCCTTCCACCCATTCAATTTACCCTCTATTTAAAACCATTTCCTATGAGGCATTAATCAATATTTATATTTACAGACATATTTTTAGCCAATTTTGCGCCCTCCCCATTGCCTCACCACCCCCTAGCTAGGGCCCTGTGTGAAGGTCACAAAGCCCCCCTCCCATTTTACAAAGTCTGACGCAGAGACTTAGCAGAACCATAGCAGAAATGACCAATTTGGCTTGAAGGGTTTTCATAAAGGCTGCAAGCTAAAAATAAAAAGCATGCGAGGACACAGTGGCCTGTTAAAGTTAACCACCCATTCTCTTCAGGCTACATACTTTTGGGTCCCAACTGTTTCATTTTTCATTTTTTTATTTTAAAAAGGTTATTTCCATTCCCCTCTTCCCTAATTAAAGGCTGGTGAGCAGCAATGATATATTACTAAGCAGCGCACTGGGCAGTAGAAGAAACAGGATACCTCATAGTTGGTATTGATCTCAAAAGGCCTTTTCCAGACTAGTCTCCTCAACTGCTTTGAACCTTCCTATCACTAGAGTGCTAAATGGCTTTTAGAAGGGTGTTCTTTTGCCTATCACCCAGGCTACACTAAGACAGCAGCCAGAACAATCCTTCATTATGGGAACCTAATCTACTTATTAGAGCAGTCTTTGAACAATGAAGTACAGTAATCTACTTTGGCCTACTTGCCTAATGCAAACATCTGAACTGACATCGCAAAGCTAAAAGCAAGGGAAGGAAGGGCAATATGGGGTTGACGGTAATTTAGGCTGACAGTGCTGCGAGAACGGTGACTAACAAAATAGTATTACACATGCTTGCTCTTCAAACAATGCCCCCTCGTTCTAAGAATCTCCCTCAGTATTAGTCACCGTCTGGTCGATTTGCAGATACAAACAGCAAAAGATGTCTAAGGAACCAACCTGTCCTAGCACAACAGGAAATCTCATCTATTCCCATAATAAAATCAACGTTAGGGACGATACAAGGGGTAGAGAACGTACGAAGGCAAATTCTCTGTTTCATGTGATATGAATGCCACTTGTCAAATGGTTTCGATACAACAATCTGCATGTGCAAATGATGCTAATCGTTTTAACTTTAAAAAAAAGGATTTACAGAGAAACTAAAACTTGGGCACAATACGTAATCTTAGAAAACTGATTAGAAGGTCAGAAAGAAGTAGGTTGGGAAATGCTACAGCTCCAAAATTTAAGGAGGGTGTGTGTGTGATTTAAAATGCCTTCCAAAATTACAAGCTACTAAATCTGTTAAACATTGTCTCAAAAATCATGTTCAAGCTTCTTTCTGAATAAGCTCAAATACTGGGCTGATTTCAGCATTAGAAATTAGCCAGGCAGAAGGCACAATTTGCGATTGGCGTAGGTCCAATTGCGACCACGCGGAGATCACATAATGCCAGGTTGGCGACTGAGGAAAGCAAAATGTCACTTAGAGAAGGATCTGAAATATTTCCCTCGAAGCTTGGAATTGTTTTATTTCTGATTGTTTTCTGTGATGTTTTAATGTGTTGTAAACCACTTTGAGATTTGTTCTTTAAAATATAAAGTGGTATAAAAATGAAATAAATAACAACAAATTTCACTGGAAAAAGGTACCCCCCCCCCTCTCTCTCTCTCTCTGTGTGTGTGTGTGTGTGTGTGTGTGTGTGTGTGTGTGTATATATATATATATATATATATAAAATTTATACCCTGCCCATCTGGCTGGGTTTCCCCAGCCACTCTGGGAGGCTCCCAACAGGATATTAAAAACACAGTAAAACATCAAACATTAAAAGCTTCCCTATACATTCCATTATGGTGACCATAACCTAGGTTTAAGTTGCCATTTGGTGATTAACTTATATTTCTGAGTTTCTAACACTAGGGCTGAAGAAATATTCTCTCAAAAGAACAGGCAGGCTTTAGGCAAGGGGCTTCTTATTTAGTCATTTAATTGGCAAATATGCCAAGGAACCCAAGTAGCTTTATGCAGCCTTCATGGAGTTCATGACAGCCTTTGACAGAATGGACCAAAAATAGATTTATGGTTTAAACTGTGAAACACAAGCTCTTCATGGATCCAGCAATGGGTTTACTAGAGATATCTAGTTGACCATTGTGGGAAATATTAGGCTCTATTAAAAGAGCCGTCGATCTGCTTCAACGGAGCTCTTAGGTATCTGAAAGCACAGGGGGGATAGTCCAGCTTTCAAGAAAAAAATTTCCAGTTAGTGTGTGCGCAACACAGATATTTGATGGACCTATTCCTATTATATTAGTGGCACACTAAGAAATACAACATGCAGAACATTTTCTAGCAGCACACATGTTGTAATGAAGCACCCATATTTACTCTGGCAGATGATATACTTTTGTCATCATGAAGAGAAGGTGGTTTACGATGACTCCTCA